GCATGGTTTTTGTCCAAGGGAGAATAAACACCAGAGACCTACATTACTTATATAACAAGAATGCTGAGACTCAGACTGCCACAATTTTGGACACTTCACATGCATGTTATATACGATTTCCCCTTTCTGACAGTAGGATCATAGCAGCAGAGAATATCCTGAGTTGGAAGGGACCCAGTAGCACATTCCCAGTGTGTGAACTTGTAAGCACCTGGAAAGGGATTGTATCCGCCTTGGAAAACCACCTGGTCCTTTCCCTCCCTGTAAGAAAGTGACTCAGCTTTCACTATCCTTGTGCCCATCTCCCCTCTTCTCCTTTGGTTTCTTGCTGCCCTCACCAGCCAAACATCCCCGTGCCTTTCTCGTGGTGCATGGTCACATAGTCAATGCTCTGCTCTGCTTCCCTTCAAAGTGTGTAGCAGAGGCCAGATTGCTGTCTGAAAAGACAAGGCAAACTCCTCACTGACCTCAAATGAGAGAAAACGTCCCTAAAAGACAGTGTTAGGCAAAAAAAGAGTAAAAGAGAACTGGCAATCCTCTGAAGCCACCTACTCACTTCCAAGAGCTGGTCCTGTCCAGCTGCCCAGCCCTCCCAGGGAACATGTGAGCATCTTCCCCACGACATCAGTACCTGAGAGTGTCTTCCCGTGGGGAAGATGCATACGGGTTGCACTGGGACAGGAAGGCAAAGGGTTGTTTTTGGACCCTGTAACAGAGGTGTGCAACGAACAGGAGTGACTGCCTACCACAGCTTGTTGAGTCTGCTCCTCCACAAGGACCTCAAACACCAAAATGCGTGGTTCTGTGATCTTCTCCAGGACAGAAATGGCTGAAAGAGCCAAATGCTGTAGGGAGGCATAAGAGAATAACAGGTCTCTCTCTCCTCTGACGATTAATAACAAGGGATTACATGCTGGTACAACTACAGCAGATTTAATACCAGGGGCTGCTTGAAAACAAAGATTAGCCGTATTTTGCTTTTGGAGAATATTGCATTTTCCTGCCTCCTCCATATTGATGGTGTGGAAGGGGGAAAATTGACATTGACTGATTGGAACCAATAAGTAGATTTTCTGCTTTACTGAGCAGAATAGCTAATTGCCTGATGGAAGGTCAGCACAAAGAATCATTTCCTGAACAGTTATTGTCTATATTAGGAAAAAAATATACACATACCCATGATGCTACCCAGGAAAGACATGGAGTGATTTCTCTTAGATTGGGTTCAGGATCTTTTGGTAGGACCAGAACTATCTGTTAGTGCAAATGTTGGCTCCCAGGAAAGCACAAGCTGCTGGCTATCAGGGCAGCCTTTCTGGATGTGCCCAAATGTACCGCTTGGGGCACGATTGTGATTCTCCGCAGAGCTTCATGCTCAGATCTGAGCAGGCTGTGATCACTCTGGGGCTGTTACTCTCAGATCTGGATGCTTCCCTGAGGCAGCCTCAGTGAGGGCTCATAGGAAGACATTTGTTATTTTTGCCCAGCTCCACAAGTCTGGAAGAGGCTTCAGGGCATGTGCTATGTTTTATATTGCCTTTCTCAGCCTGGATTTTCTCTCATCAGTACGTCCAGTTCTTCTCCTCTAATATTAAGGAGAATGAGTCAAAAGCTAACACTCACCACCCCTGCTTGCAACCTGTAATCCCCCTCTGCTGTCTGGAAGGCTCTGATTAGCATCCACGCTGACTTCAGCAGGGCAGACTGAGCCCAAACACGGTGCCTGCCTGAGCTGGGTTTGATGTCAGGCAGTGCTGCCATGCCCCAGGGGGATGCAGAGGGTGGTGAGGGAGCACCAGGGGCAAAATGTGCATGGCATTTGGCTAAATGTCTGTAATAACATCTAGTCAGGGGGTGTTATCACCAGAGGGTTTATCCATGGCCTATCTTGTGCTGCTCACCATCAGTTTTAGTTTGTGCTGCCTGCTTTTCTGACCCAACACACAGGGCCATAGGAGGCACACATTCCTTTGCTGCTGCCAAACTTCCCCCTGCTTTCACTGTTTGACTCTGGTGCCCAGTGCCTGCTTGAATGAAGCCCTTGGTTGGAAATGTGAAGCTACATGTCAGCCCAGCCCCATCTGAAAGCAGCAATCACCCTTCTCCTGGTGTTTTCATTTTCCTGGGGGAAAATGCCCTCATTGGTGGGGCAGGAGCTGGACCACCCTCACCCAAGGGGCTTCTTCCAGATCTTGGCATTGCTGCCAGAGCTGGGGATGGGCTCAGCAGAAAGCAGAGTGTCAGTGGCTCTGCCAGCCTGGTGGTTTTCCATCTTCAGAGCAATGGCATTTGATTCTTCTGCCTTGTGTTGGGCTTGTAGTTAGGAAGGGACACCGAAAAAACGTAACTTCACGTTAATCAGTTCCCTAGTCATGCCCAAACCAGAGGCCAAGCAGTGGCACTTCTCACAGGCAGACAACTGCCGCAGAGACTGCCAAATTATCTGATTTTCTTGCCTGCTTTGCCTATGCCAAGGTGGGGGAAGCAGGCAGATTGTGGCCTTTAGCAAAATCATTCCTGGAGCAGTTCCACTCACACATGCAGTAAGATATCTTTCTTCTCCTTGCATGCCTTCTTTTCCCATCCCGTGCTCCTGTGTGATGCTGGCCTCAAAAAAAGACCTGGGACAGGCACAGCGATTATGGTCTGCTCCTCAGTGGGCACCAGAAAGTTGAGCTGATCCCACAGTGAGCAGTGTGTGTGGGTACGAATATTCCTACAGGGCTCAGAGTGGATGGGATTGCTGTCTGCTGGACACGGACTTCTCTCCTGGTTTTAGATAGCGATCTTGGGGCAGGGCACGGTGCTGCTTCTGCTTGATGTGTTGGCCTACACCCAAGATGCTGCTTGTGAAAACCAACATGATGGTGATGAAACAGAGAAATGAAATCAGAGGTACGAGAAGGTGAAACTGTGATCAGAAAGGTACAGGCAAATGTGACAAATCCCTTCCCTCTCTTCATGGTCCTGGGTCCAGATCCAGCACTCACCTTTTCTATTCCCTTTTCATATCAACACAACCCATGTCTCCATCTTCCCTTTCTGCGGGTTGGGTACCCTCTGGAAGGAACTAACTTGGAGTCTACCAGCAGGAGACACTGCCTGCAAGGGTTTTAGGTGGCACCAGGAAACTTTGCTATTTTAGTTCTAGCTGCCTCCATCTCCTACTGACACCTGCAGGGCTTCGGACTTTTTCGTCCTTTTGCCAAACCCTGCCTGGCTCACCATGGAACCGTGACCAACGAGAACACGTAAAATATGACAATATTAGTCATTTGTTTGAACGTTGCTATGAAACAGGTCACAGGGGCCAGCGAGAGGCCCTGTTTGTGTAGTCACCCGCAGGGGGAAAAAAAGACATTTGTTCTGTTTTGAAAAATACCTCTTTCATGTGGAAGGGGAGTACGGCTTGGGTGGAAAGCTGCGGCCACTGACGGGGAGGATGAGCCGCGATGGCTCAGCCACGCAGCCGGGGCAGCTTCACAAACGGTCCTTCAGCTTGTTTTGCCCATGGCTAACTGCACCTCGCCCGCTGCTGCCAGCCAAAAATTCATCCTCGGCTAAGGGCTGGCTGCATCGCAGGGCAGTTGAAGTAAAATATTACCCCCCTCCCTAACCCACAAGCAAATAGCGCTGCGCACAGAGGCCGGCAGAGGAAGGATGACATCATGAAACCCAAGAGGGAAAGCAAACATCCCGCCAGCTCCGTGCGCAGGGCAGCCACAGACGGACTTTGTCTCTGCTGTGTGCTCCGAGGACTTTTCTCGGCAGCTATAAAGCACGGGTGTGCTGCACACCGCAGCCTGCCCCGATCCTGCTTCTTCTCCCATCCTGGTGGCCAGCGGTGCACAATACACTCAGCACCGTGCCATGATGAATGAGCAGAGAGCATCCCTCAGCCCGTGGTGCTCCTGCAGGGCTCGGGGCTGACCATCGTCAACGTGTGTCCGGGAAGCATGGAAACGATCCATGGCAAGGAGCAAGGCTTCTCCTCCCACAGCGCAGTGCTAAAAAAAAAAAAAAAAAAGGTTTTTCCTACAACGGCAAGGAAACGATCTAAATGCCATACAATCTATCTTCAGTAAATAAATAAATAAATAAAATGTAAATTCTAGGAAGCAACAGGAGCAAAATGCTTCCAGTGCTGCAGATGTAACCTGCAGAGATGCATGAATCCCCCCCCACGCCACTTTCTTAAAATTAGGCAGGCTACACGCAGTTGAATAAACTTGCATCCAAAAATTGAGGTTTCTGGCAAGCAGTTCAACAGGATCACTCGTAGGAGTATGTTAATTTTATATGGCCATTCTGGTAAGATTGGCCCAGTGCTCCCCAGGTTGCAACACCCCATCTGCTGCTGGCAAAGCAAGGATTTAGGGAGCTCCCTTGCATGCTCCCCCAGAGCCAAAGGAACCAGATGTGGGTCTGCTCCTTGGATGCTGGGCAGGATGAGGTCCCTTGTACCCATCCTGCGAGGTGCTGGGTGCCTGCTCTGGATAAATCCCCATTCTCTTTCCTAGCAGGGGCTCCCCTTGCGCACAGCAGGATTGAACACAGTGTTTGCACCACATCATGCTGGGAGACTTCCAGGTCTGAACAAAATCCAGGGCTGAGGTTTCATCAGAAAATCCTGCCCTTGTGCTAGGGGTATATACTTGGTCCTGTATGGGAGAAGGAGCAAAACATCCCTGATCCTGCATGCACACAATGGCCTGTGTGGACATAAATACACCCACTACTAAAGAAATAATCCTGCCCTGCTAATCCATGACTGCTTTAAAGTTACAAATATAAAACCTGTGCTGGCCAGGATTTGTGAAGCACTGTAAAATACACCCTCCTGGTGCAGGTTTGGTCACTACAGACCCCAGAGACTATTATTAATATATATATATTTTTTTTTCAAAGGACCCTCACAACTAGGAATAAACCCCCAAATTTAACAACTTCTTTATCTTTATTATTATTATTTTTCTGTTGGTAAAAGTAAGTTTGCCATGTTAACAAAAGCAGAATAGTTTTATTTAGTGTTCATCTCACACCTTCGACAGCTGCAGCTGTCAGGCACAGAAATACAGTATTAAAATAAACTGAACAGAGTTGCTCATTGAAAAATCACGCTATGCAAACCTGTGGATTGTAACATCAACAGTATAAAATGTAACAAAATTGGAATTTTTTAATTTTTTAAGCTTTTAAAGATAATAGTCCAGGCTATAAAACTATATAAGCATTGAATAAGAAATGTTAAGTCAACAAGTCTACAACAGATACATCTTGTAAAAACTCAATAAATTATATATATATTTATAATATCTAGTAACATTTGAAATCATGCACAGTTTTGTACATTTTTTTTTCAGTACATGAAACTCAACGCTTCGAGTACTTGGAATGTACACAATTAGCAGACATTTGTAAGAAAATACCAAAAAATTCTTTTTTTTTTTATTCCAACAAAACAAAACAAAAATCTATAGAAATCTACCTTCTCAAACTTCCATCGAAGTAACCTCAAACTATAAATTATTTATTTTAGGATAAGGATTTTGTGGCTCTAAGAAGGAAAAAAACAAACAAACAAAAAAAACTTAAAATGAGATGCTGCCATCCTGCTATTCTGAAACATTGATATGTAATATGCACCAGAGAAAAATGTAAAGAAAATTCAGGATGCAATTACCCTTGCCTCTTTGTGGTAGTAGATAAAGTCTTCTGGACAAAAACAAACAAACAAACAACAAAAAAGCCAACCCAAACCTCCCCCTTTGTCACCTTGAGCCACAGTAAGATTCTCTAGTTCACTTGCGTGCTTTTAAACTGCAATCTGACGTACAGGAACAAAATAGCACAGCACTCCGAACACAAAAAATTAGGCATCACTGGCATTTTTCAGTGTGTTAGATGCAAAAGAAATATGCAGTCATTGCATCTCCCCTGCAAACAGTGTCACTTCTCTTGCTGTTTTGCCCACATGGGTATTTCTTAAGCCCAAAATACAACGGTACTGGCAAAGGGGGGAAAAAAAAATTAACGCGCGTCATCCAAAGTCAACATTTCGCTTTGCTGCGTACTTGTTATTAACTCAACCACAAAGAATACCTTCATTCGAAAATAGAAAAATAAACACCCACACCCCCCTTAATGCACAGTGGTTAAACTGATGGAAGAATTCTTGGCCCTGTTTTTCTGAAATATGTAAAAATCATCTCTCTGCTGCTATTTGTTTGGTTTTAACCACTGGTGATGTATTGAAAAATAAACTTACCTTTGCTCACTGCAATCCAGGATAAACTAATATTTTTTTAACGAATACATATATATATATATTTATAACATTAAATGTAATTTGTTAAAGGACTGTACATCTATACATTCTTTCAATATTTCCCATAAACACAAAAGAAAAACTTGATTAATATATTTTTTCTCCATTTTTAATAAGTTAAAAAAACACCCTTAAACTCAGTGAAATTTAAAGTTTACAGTAACGCTACGCTATTTAAACCGATGAACAGATATGTTAATGTCTATAAATAACTTTACAAATATACATGTTAAGGTACAATTTTTAAAACAAAACTGTGAAGATATAAAACAAACAAAAAAATCTTCTCTTTCACCCAGATCAGTATATCCTAGATTGCAATGCTCATATTTTGAGACTCTCTCTCAGTACTGCTTTATGTTGCATTAGTATTATACATTCTTTTTTTTTCCATATATTTATTTATATATATACAGGATATATTTATAGATATATACACAGATTCTCTGGAATAAACCTTTTTGATATAAGTTAAAGGCTCTTGCCTACAGGTACCCGTAACTTCTTTCTCCAAGTCACTGCACGTAGATGGAGCCAAACCGCTGGCGCCAAGGGCCGGAGGAGCAGCTCCCCTCCAACTCGCCCTTTGCAAGCAAAAGTATGCAAACCCCCATCTCCAGAAAGTGAGGTTTTCCCCAAAACGGCTGCTCCCGCAGGTTGGGACAGGGCTTGAGAAGCAGCATGGGTGCTCAGTCCCCGTGGGACCTGGCCAGCGGCAGGGTGATGCTCTCCTCCAATTAGGATGACTTGACTGTCTCTTTTTTTTTTTTTCTTTTCCTTTCTCCATGACGATTTGCATTTTACTTTTTTTTTTCTTCTTCTTCTTCCGAAAAAGATTCCTTCTATGTAGCTGGGTAATAAGATCATGAAGCTATAAAAACGACGACAACAAAAATATAGATATTTTTATAAATATATGAATCCCTGCAGGCAACGTGGCTTTTCAGCTCCACCAAAAAGGTTCATGTACAGATTGCATAAGCAAAGAATTTCTACATTCTTTACACTTTTTTTTTTTCCGTTAGCTTTTTTTTTTATAAAAAAAAGGAAGATTTTTTTTTCTCTTCTTCGTATTGCAGGCACAGATCGGCTACTCTGGCACTCGGCACGTGACCGCGGAGGCTGGAGGTCAGCACCCCCAGGTTTAACATTCTACTTAGGAAAAAATAAAATAAAAAAATACCAAAAAAAAAAATCATACAAGATAGATCATCTTGGCAAGAGATTAGTTCCTTCAGGCCAAACAGTGCTTCTTGACTTTTTATACAGCAAATGGGAAAATAAAAAATAAAGATTTTTCTTTCTCTCTCTCTTTTTTTTTTTTTTTTTTTTTACCCTGAACAGCTCAACAACACAAATCCTCCAGCGTCGCCGAGCAGTTTCACGGAAACATCCTTCACTACGGGTTTGTCCTCGGCGCCCCACACTTGCGCCGGGGTGGGCGCGCTGCCTGTCCGTCCGTCCATCCATCCATCCGTCTGTCCATCCGTCTGACCGGGGTGGGGGGGCCGTCACGTCCGGATGACGCCGTTACAGGGGGGGTGCTTGGGCAGGCAGGGCTCATCGGGCAGCAGGTCATGTGCAAAAACCGAGTCGTCCCCCGAGGAGCAGGTGCTGTGGGTGTCCTGGCCAGCCGGCGAGTACTGCTCGAAGGGCACCGAGAGGTCCAGGTACTCCTGAGGGGGTGACAGACCCGTCAGCACCCTTGGGGATGAACCAGCCCTCCCCATGTCCCCCCACCAACACCAAACTCACGTCGGTGGACGTCACGGTGAGGACCCTGTCCAGGTCTTCCACCAGCTGCTTGAAGGTGGGTCGCTGCGAGGGGACAGCGTGCCAGCACTCACGCATGATCATGTACCTGTGGGGCATGACAGGGAAAGGGAGATCATCACCTGTGGTAAAGCTCGCCCCAAAACCCTGAATGCCTGAGAGAAAAGCTACAGGAGAGGGGAGCAGCACGGCTCAGCCCCAGCCACCATGCCATAAAGCAGCGGGGACGAAGCCCAATGCTGAGGGGATGGTGGCAAATCCCTGCTGAGTGTGGGCAGGAGAAGCCTCCTTTGCTCATATTTGCTTGGGGAGGCACTGGAGATGAAGTAATGAGGAGGAACCGAGTGTAATTGTGTCATTTTATGTGAGGCAAAGCAGGCTGCAGCCCCAGCTCCTTGCACACTGTCACTTAGGTGCGGGGTGAGGAGGGTGTGAGGCTGTGGTGTTGCCTCGGTGGAAGGGAGGAAGAGGGTTTTGTGGAGCTAAGCCCTCATTACTGATCACCTCACACCTATACGCACTCTCAAAGCCGGGTGAGGACCTGTGCTAAAGACGAGCTGTGCCCCGAATTGCCACCCATCGAATGAGGCAGGTACGTGATGCCCCAGCAGCCTGAAGCAGGCCATTTGTGGTTGTGGCCACAGAGGGAATGGGGAAAGGGAGAGAAGAGGGGAAAGCTGCTGGGTCACCCTCCTTCCACTCACAGGTCATGGGTGCAGTTGGCAGGTTTATCCATCCGATGGCCTTCTTTCAAGAGTTTGAAGAGTTCCTCGACAGGAATTCCCGGGTACGGAGACCCTCCCAAAGTGAAGATCTCCCATAGTAGCACTCCAAAGGACCAGCTGGAAACCAAAGAAAGATCTTTAAAATTCAATGAGTTTTTTTTTTTTTTTCCACCCCCCATATCCCCTCCCCCCTGCTCTGCTTTATTTCTGTGCAGCCATGCATAGCTAACAAAGTCATCAATAGCATGACTAATTGCCTAGGCCATTTTTACTAGTTACTTGGAGATCTCTGCTGATCCAACTCAATAGCAAAGAAATCCCAGGCACCAAGTCTGAAATTGAAATGAGCATTTAATCAGATAGGTGACAGCCCATCTATTACCCCCAGCTCTTTGTTAGGTCTTCCACCAGCTCCACTGAATGGAACAAATCAAATTATTCATGCACAGCTTCACTGAATTGCAGGCTTGGAACCACAGGCCACTAATTGTGCAAGCTGATACCAAAACTTGCTTGTTACAACACTCATTTCACTGGCCAAGCTGGGAGAAAAATACCCCAACAAAAATCAGCAGAGCACTAATGTTACACACTCCAGTCCTGCAGCTGTGCTCTGGTTAAAAGTCCTCTTTTCAAAAATATCTTTTGCCTTCTTCATTTTCTTTTTAAAAACAGGGATTATCTGTCTCTGTTTCTCTTTCATGCATGCTCTCTCTCCTGTTCTCTAGCTTTGATTTATCTGTCATGCCCAATGCAGCATTACCTAAGCATGGAAACTATGATTTAAGATCAATAAAGCCAAAGTATGTGAAATTTACAGAAATAGAAATGATTCATTTGTCCAACTGCAAGCAGCGAGCCTTGGGGAGCCGGCAGCCTGTCTGCTAAATTACTGTAAAAAGCTATTATCATCCAAATATTGAAATAAAAAAGCCGGTGTGCATATTGAGCTACTTCAGTCGTTGCAAAGTTTAGATGTGATCTGAAACTGCTTCCCAGACTGCTCTGCTTTCCATTCAAGTCAGGAATAAAGAAAGAGCAACCTTTAAGGCAGCACCCTGATAGATTTACATTTTACATAGGCTCTGCTGTTTGCTTACAGTACACCGACACTAAAACCGACAAGATGGGATAAGGAAAAATAAAGGTAAATAAATGAAGCAGCAAAATTAATCTGAGAATATATCTGTTGAATATTCTCCAATCACCTCTACTAATGCTGGGCAGAATATTTCAAGCTCATCCCATGTACTCAACTGAAGTCTGCCTGGGTCAAAGTCTGGAAGAAGTCAAGGGTAACTTTAATGGTTTTTCTCTTCCTGATTTTTTTTGACTGCAGGATGAATCTCCTCATCTATAAACTGCACAAGAAATACCTGCCTGCCTGCCAGTAATTTTTCAGCAGCCTACTGGAGATTTATCCTTAGTTAAAAGCAACTAGATAACAGAAAAGCAAAACCACGTGTGCAAAGCTGCAGCTTGGAATTGAATCATTTGTGTTTTCATCCCCAGGCGCCCCAGCACTGAGCAAGCCCTGCTTGAGTTTAGCAGTACATATGTTTTGGGGATAGTATGGGTGTTTATTTTACTGTTATTTTATTTTATTTTTTTTTAAAAGTGTGGGTAATGCTTACACATCACTCTGGTGAGTATAGACCCGGTCAAACAATGCTTCTGGAGCCATCCATTTCACAGGCAGCCGACCCTGTAATTAGGAAGACAATGGGAACATCCCATCAGCATATTCCCCCAGCCACAACGGCACCATCTGAATCTTCTTTTCTAATCCAGTTTGAAACATTTTCATTAACAACCACATCTGCCTTCCCGGTCACTGGGCAAAGCAGTAGTGGACACATATAAACAGATTACAGCATTTGATCCCTGGATCTTCGCTAACAATCTTTGCAGTAAATGCTCTCTGTGAACTGTGTTTCTCTGCCAAGGCAGGTTTAACATATCAGAGCATCTAAATCTTTGTGTGGGAACAGTTTCTATTGCTCATAAATGCAGCTAGCTTTGAGGCAGAGAACATAGGACAACAGTTCCATCTCTTTGGTTGGAAGAAGCAGTTTGATGCTCAGACCAAATCCTGCTTAGGCTGAACCAGAGGGGAAATTTCCTAGAGTGAAATCAAGGGCCAGATCCTCTGAGAATCAAACCCTAATCCCACTGAAGTCTGAAGGAGGCCTGAACCCAGGTTTCCAGGGGGCTATTCTACATCAGGGTCATAAACATGCACAAATGGGATTAGGTTGTCAGGTGTCCAACGCAGCTCAAATGGGAAATCCATCTGAGCTGTAATTGAAATTCACAATATTTTTTTTTAAATATATTCTTTTGATATTGCATGGGATCATGATGGGCTTTGTAGGACTGCCTGAGAACTGAAACCCCTTGCAATTGCAAAGCTGTTGAGCTCCACAATACACTCAGCTCTTCCACTGCTGTCCTCTGCACCACGTTGTAGTTGTGGCTTTTTCTCTTCTGCTGCAGAGCACTGGGAAGTGCTGTGTGCCCTGCAGCATGGCAGAAATCTGAACTGCTTTGGGACTCAGCCCTTGGCTAGGGCTGTTTTCTCACCCTTGGTAGCAGACACACGGAGCTCAGTTGTAAAAAAGAGAGAGAAGTGCATGAAAGCCAGGTAGCTCCAGGAATATAAAAGGTGATATTCCTCGCTCAAGAGCTCTGGTAGGACCAGAGGTTGGCTCCTTGGGACCTTTATGACCAGTAGTGCAACAGGCTCAGAAATGCTCCTTTGGTAAAAAACTTAGTTTCTTAGTCTAGAGCCTTCTTGGCAGAACCGAGACCTCTCAACCAGCTGCTAGCACCAGCAGCATCTGTCAGAAAGAAAATGGATGGTGGATGGACTCCTGGGATCAGCCTATCTATGGTCCATCACCAGGTGAGGCCAACGGCAGATCTCTTCCTCCTAAGCCCCTCTAAAAAGGGAGATGTGGAGCGAGGGCCGCTTGTTGCAGGGACAGCAGTTCCCTGCCAGAAAGAAAGCTGCAAGTTCTTGGCAGTTCTGTACTTACATTGGTGGTTTTCTTGTAATAGTCGATGTTGTGAACGTCTCTAGCAAGGCCAAAATCAGCTATTTTCATCACATTGTCTTCAGTGACTAACACGTTCCTGGCTGCCAAGTCGCGATGAATGCACTGTGAAAGGTGAGCAAGTCAATAAATAAGGGCTTGTTAGCTGCTTGCGCCTGCAACTAACAGCAACGTGTGGTTTACGAGCTGCTGTTTCATTGACTCCCAAGCTCATAAAGCTGTGAGCACCGCTTAATTCCTCGCTCTCTGTGTCATCGCTGCATCATGCATGCTCAGTGGGAGCCACCTCTTAGCAACACCTAATCGGCAGCCCCAGCACTGACACGGCCGTGCAGCTTTTCCTTCTCCAAAGTGGATGCATGGATGGGTGAGAAGTCAAACTTTCCTATTCTGTGGGTGCCTACTGGGACATGAAGCTGTTCTTATCCCCCTTCCTCCACAAAGAGGAGTGAAAGTTGATGTTTAGAGTGAAAAATTTCTCAAATTAAGACTTTGCCAACACACCCAAATATCTAATAGCTGTCAGCAGAGGAACAAGCTAAACTAGCCTGCACTGTGCAGAGAGGGAGCTGAAAGCCACCACGAAGCATTCACTCTGAACTGCACTCACAGGGCCAACACACCTGAAATCTGGAGCTGAACTTGTTCTTGCCTTCGTGTTCCCTACCCCCAGAAAGAGGTCACACCAGCTGGTGCACAGCTTAGCTAACTCAAAGGCCTGATTGTCCACTTGCTGGTGTCAGGGTAAATCAGGACTAATCCCCGGGGTGTGATGTAAGCAAACACAGCAGCCGGCTCAACGCCAACAAAGTACTCCCCAGGGAGCATCCTGGGCATGGTCATGCCAAATCCACTGCCAGCTCTGCTCCAAACGAGCCTCCACGTGCTGGTGACAGCTGCAAACACGTGCACTGCAAAAGCAGGATCTCAGCTTCCTTTTAGCTGCCTCTATCTTCAGCAATCTCAAAAGAGAGATGGGGGAAAAGACAGGGGCACACAGACCTCCTGACTTTGTCGTTTAAGGTAATGCCTCCCAGGGTGGAAGCTCACAGCTTTGTCCACCCAGACTACTGCAGGACGAGCCCCATGATCACACATCTGGAAACCAATTACTTCTGCAAGTGGTAGAGGCTGAACAGCTGAGGACACACACCAGGGTCTGGGCTGCTTGTGTTTTTCCATGCCCTTTGGAGATGCTAACAGGCCTGCAGGGGACAGCCAGGGCTGTTCAGCTGCACAGCTCACGAACACAGCCTGCACATGGATAACAGGCTTCTACAGCTTCAGCCTTCTGCAAAAATACTAACGTCCTTTGTACTGAAAAATCTGGTCTCTAAAGGGAGAAACCTGCATAGGCAAATTTGCCTGAATTTGCTTACACACACACACGTCTCTGAACACTGCTCTGACCAGCATTTTTACCAAACGAGACTTCTCAAACTCACTTTCTGAGATGCCAAGTACTCCATGCCCCGAGCCACCTGGTAGGCGCAGGAAACCAGGTCTTTAAATGTCAGCTGCTCCTCAGGCAGCTTGCAGGTGTCGAAGGAATAGTCCATGCCAGGTGGGCGACGTGCCCTGAGGTATTCCCGCAAGTTCCCCTTCGATGCATATTCCACCAGCACGTAGAGTGGTCCTGCAAGCAAGAACACCATCAGCATACAGAAGAAAAAGAGAAGCATGTGCAGGCTGACCCCTGAAATCTTATTTTTTGAGACATTTTGGACAGTTAGTTAATAGAGAGGCCAGTCACAAACCTTGCCTCTCTCCAGGACATCGTTTTATACTGATGAGAAAAGGAGAAAGACGTACAGGAAGACCTCAGGGAAAGGTGCAACCCAAGCCAAACCACATCAGACACAGGCAGGAGTCTGCTGTTGATGCCAGCTATATGGCTGTCAGCAGGGCCCGGCCAGGTCTCACACAGTCAATGTGTGAGTGAGCCAGAGGAAGGAGGAAAAATGCCTTGGTACTGATCAAATACATCAGGCAGGTCCTGTGTGGGGTGAGATTAGCTCCACAAACCCTTGCTGAGCACTAAAAGCAATGCTGTGGATGCAGGAGTGTGAAACACACCACCCTGAGCCTCCCGTTGCCCTGCGAGCTCGTACCGTCCTGCGTGCAGGCACCAAGGAGGTTAATGATGTTTTTGTGTTTCCCAATCATCTTCATCATTTCCATCTCAGAGACCAGGTCTGAAAGGTCCTTGTCTGTGGCATCATCTGGAGAAAGCAAGGGAGGAAGAGAAAGAAAACGTCAGGATGAAAATAAGTGTTTTGTAAAATATTGCTGCACAACCATGCGGGGTTTTAATGGGGAAAAAGTATGCAAAAACTGTCAGTATTTGTTTTTCTTCTACTTTGGGAAGAAGAATCAAAATAAAAACAAAAACTATTATCCAAAAAAGAGAGTATTTGTTCAAAAATAAAAATGGAATAAATGGAAATAAATATTCCTATGAAAATCAGTAATACCTTTCATCTTCTCTTTCACCCTGATGAACATTAAAGTAAAAAAAGACAGTTTGGGTACTTGGCATCATTTTCCTGTACTGATTGTTTCTCTCTCTTATCTCCTGGGGAAAAGGGTAAAGTTAAGGAAGGGGAAAGGTTAGATCTGGGATACCGGACAGAAGAAGGATTGTAGTTTTTGCATGGAAACCTGTAATTTTTCCACAACTGTAGAAAAATGAGGGAAGAGCTCCCCAGACAAATGCTTTGGTTTGGAGAGATGGGAATGTTCCTGCTTCCAAAAATAACCCCAGAACAGACTGAAGTAAATCTAAAGAATCCTTTTCTGATAAGAAATAGTTTTGTTTAAAAAATGTCACCCCATGTAACCTCAGACCTGGGCTGCTCACTGACAGGGCATCTGCCCTGCCTGTTCCAGCTGAACTCTGCAGGGGGATTTCACTTGTGGTTACCAGAAGACTGCATGGGAGCAGGATGGGAAACAGGGACTCCTCCGGAGGTGCCCCGTGCATCCCCCATTTTGGCTTCCCTTCCATCTCTCATCAGTTTTGGATTGATTTTTTTAAGTGAAAGGTCAGGAGTTTGGCAGATGAATTTCTGCAAACTCCACCTGAATTTGTTGCACAAGCTTTTGGTAAAATAGCCACCATTGGTTATGGGGGGAGTACGGAGCAGACTGCTTCACCGGGCTGGCTAGAAGTGAAGGTGCTTTCCCTTCTCCTCAGCGATCATATTACCCCTTGGCAGAGAACCGGGTTAATTCCCGTTGTCTGTTCCTGACGGGACTTACACCTTTACATCCTCTCCAAGGAGACAGCCCTCGCCCCCAGGCTATGTGGGTGAAGCGGAAGGAAGGCCCCTGTTGCTTTCTTCTATTGGATCTGTTTGTACAAAAGACTTAAAAGCGAAGGAAAGAGAGGAAACCCCAGCACAAGATGCCGCTCCGCCCTCTGTGGGCTCCCCATACCTTTCAGCATCTTGACAGCCACCGTGATGGCCTTGTTCGGCTTGTCCTTATCAATCCCGATCGCTTCTGCCATCACCACTTGGCCAAAACACCCCTCACCGAGCGGCTTCCCCAAGGTCAGGCTGGAGGGAGGAATAACAGGCGTGTTAGTGGGGATCAGGATGGTGATCTGGGAAATGTGGGGACCCTGCCTGTGGGTTTGACTGACCGAGAGCGTGCCAATTCCCACTTGGGATCTGGAGGCAGTTCCAGCTCGGAGACGTTGGCCAGCATCGGCCCGTCGCTGGAGGAGAGACGCGTGATCCGGACCAGGGGTGTGTTGGAATTCATGGAAGAGTTGGACTCCAACGACACCTGCTTGGGTAGAGCAAATGAAGTGTTATTGCCAACTGTATTCCCAGCGGGAAAGCGGGTGGGAACGTGCCCTAGGTGGGTCACTGAGGGGTTTTGAGCTATCTCTGACATCTCACTGGTAATTTTGAAATGGGAAATCCCTCCTACCCCCCCATCTCTTATCCACCCCATCCTTGCAGAAATGAGCTGATTTAGGCACACGTGGTCACTGTCTTCACTGGTGGGAAGGAGGGAAGGGCTCTCCAGCAAGGAAGAATGCTGGCAGCTGTGATACAAGCCCTTCACTTGCTCTGCGTGCTTCTGCACATGTGTACATGTGCACGTACAGGCTGTGGTTCCATCCTGGCACTGGAACTGCCCACCACGAGCTGTGAAATCCACGTACTTCACCATGTGGCTCTATGTGATGCCTTTTGCCCCTCTGCAATGGCAGAGCATCTCCAACTGCATGGAGAAAGATGACCCCCTTACATCTCCATGAGAACAGAAGGAACAGGCACATTTACTGTGCTCTTGCTCCCCAAGTTACCCCTCTGCCAGGTTTATACTGCTCCCCGGCAAGACCTGCTTTCTGTGCAAGCACTGGGAGCTTGAACCCAAGGCAGATGCCACCAGCTACTGCTCCACTGGAACAGAAACAGATGAATAAAAGGGCGTTAGACTTTTAGACTGCAGCCAACTTATGTCTTGGGCAACATCTTTCTGGTAGTTTTGCACCTAGAAAGGAAATTTCAAGGGAAAAAAAAAAAAAAAAAGGAATGACCATAGGGGGGAATAGGAATCTTGTATCTACTTTCTGTTACCTGTCTCTTAAGTGGAAATTTGGAGACTTTCTGTACAGTGGTGGTGTTCATGGCCTTTTTATTTGGCATCTTCATCCTGCAGATAATCACAATGACCAGCACCAGGATGAAGAGAACTAAGCCAGTGCCGTAACTGAGAATGCCAGCATACACCGAGCCTGAATCGTCCATTTCCATTAGCTCCTCTGCTGCAGGGTGACAAGAGACAGCAGTCAGGATGGGGCCAGCGGCTGCCCGCACGCAACCGCACACACACAGCACGAAGAATTTGGGGAGGACCTGCTCATCCACACCAATTTTCTGACTGACTTCAGCGAGGGGACCCTCCTAGGCCAGTGGTTTTCCACCTGTGGCTGTAGCTAAAATGTTTGCTTGGTTTGCTTTTTTTTTTTTTGGGGGGGGGTGATTTTACTGCCCTTCGATGTGATGCTGGAGGGCCTTCAGCCACAGGTTGAAAACCACTGCTCTAGACTGAAGGCATCTCCACGTCTCTGTGCTGTTCCTCTGAACCACGTCGTGCTCTCTCTGCACATCCAAACCATGGAACTGGGTGTGCCCAGAGCTCCAGTGAAGATCTCCACCAGACCAGTGCCTGCCCTGACGGACAAAGGGCACCAGGGGTAAGGCATCACAACGGGAAAATGTCTCACGATAGAAATCTACATAATTATTTTGTGAAAACTTAAGTTTTGTTGGGAGGAGGCCGGAAGGTCTGGCCTGGAGAGGTGGCTGAGCCAGGAAGGCAACAGCATGAGCCCAGCAGCAGTGGCCACCTGAGAGCAAGGTGTTTTTGGGGCCAAGAAGGCTCGGTTGCAATTCTCCCCTTGTTCCCTTCAGGACAGGCACTTGGACCAGAGGAAGGAGCCATGGTGGGACTGGTTTTCTGTCCCCCAGAGGTGAACCAGCATCAGAGGAACAGTCAGCAGCAGGAAACTTTACAGTGAAGTCATGCCAGCGTGGGCAGCTTGCTAACATCCCATGTCCATCAGCGGCTTTGGCAGGCAGCAGGAGCCTTTCTGCTGGCAGCAGCAGGCTCCAAAACAGGTCTTCGGTGGCTGTTTCCAGGATGCACATGGAGAAATGGTCATGGGTGACTATGGGGGCTGATCCAGAGCATGTGGGCCTATGTACCAGCTGTGCAGGGCCTGATCCTGCCAGGGGGTGATCTTTTCCTGCAGGGAAAGGTTACCAGATCTTTTGGGATCAGGCGCTAGGTCGGTGCCAAAGCTCACAGCATGTCGTTCTCTGCTCCACAAGGACAGGTTCACAAAGTGAGGTTTTCCCCATCAGGGTTGGATCCCGCACCTCCCTCCCTTTGGGCAGCGCTTTGGAGCCTGCTGCTGCACTGCCAGCTGTCCTCCGCTGCATCTGACTTCAATATAAAGTTCCACTTCAGGTGGTTTTCTTTTTTCCCGTTTGTTCTTTGCTTAAATTGGAGGTGTGAGTTTATACGTTATGAAAACAGCGTAACGGTTGAATGAGACAGGATCAGGAGCTTCTTAAATAACAGGGATATTAGTGCTCTAACCAAAGGAAGTGATTTGTCATCCAGTGGATGGCAGAAGCAGAAACAGGATAGGATCAGCTATTTTAGAGCTGGCAAATAAACAGAGAAAAGACCAGCAGATCCCACCGGCAGCAGGGTCAGGCGTGGAGGAAACCCTCTTGAGCCCCAGGAGAAGTGTTTACGACCAAATCACCCACACAGATAAAGTCAAGCTTAGAAATGCCAAAGTTCCTGGTTCCTAAACATATCCCAAGACATTTGTGGGATAGAAACAAATGTGGTCTATGACTCGGTGAGCCAGAGCTGTGGGTATGGGATGCTTACAAGGGCCTACTGAACACACTCCAGGTCTGTTCCTACACCCTCTACAAGGCACAACACCCACTTAGATTTCATGTAAAACATTGCTGGTGCTTTTCTGGGCTGTGCTCATGCTGTCTCCATAGCTGGAGGCAGATTTTGCAGGTGAAGGCACAGCACAGCCTCGGCCCCTTCTTTTGGAGGGCAGACCCCTCCTGTTGCATATTCTGTGCTGGCTTCATTGTCAGCAAGAGCTTTGCACATGAAAGGACCACAAAATTGAGGTCACTCTGGCCTCGGGTTTGAAACCCGTGGCAGCTTTCATCGGTTTCAGCTGGAGCAAGCAGCATTGAGTGCCCCTGGGAGCCAGCACTCCTGGGCTCTGTCCACAGATGACTCCAGTCGACCTCCCATCTGAGATCGCTCTCTCCGCCTGTTCATCCGTGAAGCGGAAATAATGCTACAGGCAGGGATGGGGGTACTCACACCGACTACTTGTGCATCTCATTTTTGGTTGAGATATGAGGTTGGACAGAAAGGTTTCTCCTTGATGACCAGTGTAGGTGTCCTGGATCATCTGATGGGGAGTTTCTTTCTCCCTCTGGGTATGCTTGCAGCATAAGGAGACAAAGCGACTAATTTTGGCACCTAGAGACAGTCTCCTAACACAGAGGCTGTGAGCACCTCTGAGTTATCCACGTTTAAAAGGATCCTGGGCAATTTGTATCACTGCTGCAATAGTAATTTAAATCCCGAGACGAAATGCAAAATCTGCCAGCTGTGAGTATGCAACAGGGGTCTTCTGCTGCACCGGTTTGTCACCGGCATGGCAAATCCCAGAGGGGAAACCTCCCTGGGGAATGTGTCAGCAGGAACCTGGCATTTCTACAGCAAACATCAAAGCACCCTGGAGAAGAAAGGAGAGGCCAGCACAGAAGGAAATACCTGGTAGCACCGTCAGCCAAGCAGAGTGATGTGAGAAACCAATAGAATTCCCTGCGAGACAAGTATATTCCCCAGCATCCTCAAAAGTAACATTTCGCAAGTACAGAATCTCTAGCTCCTTATCCGTTGTGTTAACACCTGCCGTCTACGGGGAAAAAAAACACACACATATAGAAAGAGGGAAAACAGAGAATAAGCCACATTCCCAGCAAGTGTGAGGACACCACAGGCAAATTTCAAAAGCAGATTAAAGTTTTTCTTTTTTTTTTCTCCAACGGCCCATCTTCCACATTTATTCATTCATTCCCCTCTGCAACCTGTAGTCAAAAGCAAAAAAGTTCCCTTCACCAGGTTCTTACTCTGTCCCACTAAAGAAGCATGCAAGCAAAAGCATCCAAACGAAAAATTGCCCCCACAATATGACTGACCTTCAGTTAGTCGGGTGAGTACAGGGGGGAAGAGAGAGAAAGTGAAAGGAAAGAGGAAAGAAGGAAAGAAACGAGAAAGGAGGTGAGAGGTAGTGGGGAAAGACTCAAGTGCTGATCAGATGAACACACAAATATTGAGTTCATTGAAGAATATTCAGAATTGTCAAATTTTTTTAAGACTTATTTTCAGAATGGCCATTTCTAAGCCAAATATTTCTCATACAGCCCTTGATACTGCAGCGTGACTCTGGCTGATCTCAAGAAGGTGCTGAACCCTCCAGGAGTGAAACAGCTGGAGTCACACCAGAGAGCTCACAACTTTGCACTGCTCTCTGCTTAATGTGCTTGCTCATACAAGTCAACATCGATATTTATTTCCCAATTATGCCTCAAACGGACAGAAGTCAGTCCATAACAACTGTACCAGTTTTAGGGGCAAAAATCTTAGTTTTCCATAGCACCGAACGTCACAGGTCATTAGCATGCAATTCTGTTATCAGCACTCAATTGTAAGGAAGGGAAAGGAATAAAAGCGTGAAGAGTTGATAGCAAAATTTGACAGTCATTTTATTGTGGGAATTTTTCCATGGCAATTGCTGTATAGGCGTTACAATCTTGTAAAAAAAAATTAGCAAGAAAATAAGATAAAGCCATTCAGCGTCAGTTGACAGGGTGTAATACAAAATGAATAGTAATTTTAATCACTAGCTTCTTAAAATGTTATAGCTCATTCTTGCAGTTGCCAGGGCCTTGGGACAGAGTCTGTGGTTTACCTGGTTTTGGTTTGCGAATGTGGAGCCAAAATGGTTTTTCGGCTATGCCTACGAAATTGTTGGCTCTACACAGATATTCTCCTTCATCTTGTTCTGTCACATTGAACAGATTTAGGTTAGCATCGGCTTCAGCGTTTTTACTGATCCAAGACTGCAGGAATAGACAGAAACCTGAACTTCAGTAAACCAAACAATACCTCCATCGAACCTATATCAGCTAGGATTGACTGTTCATTGCCTATTTTCTTTCCGGCTGTAGCACCATCCCCAGCTCGCCCTGTGGTGAGAGACCTAGCCATGACCTGGGCGAAGAAGAGAAGTCCCCAAACCCCACGTAGGTGACCTCCCACCCCTTCGCTGGTGTTCCTGCTGCTGGAGGCACGCGTGCCATTTCTTTCTTAGAACAATTTCCCACTTCTCCATCTGACAGCAGTCAATGGCCCTACAGTTCCCTAATAACTCTGCAGACAGGAGCACCAGAGAAAGGGCTTAGGCAGAGATTTGTGTTTGCAACCCGGCTCGGCAAATACTGTTTCAATTATCAGATTCCAAAATAGAATTTGGAAACAAAATATAAGCAGCGGCGGTCTGAAACTTGCTGCTGACTTTGCCTTTCAGAAATTAGCTGTAATTTTTTCCACTGCTTATAGGAGCCTCTTCTTTACTAAATAAAGTGGCATATATAAATCAAACAAACTTCAGGCTGTTAAGCAGGGGTTTATTTCTCTTCTTCCAAGCTGCCACAACTGCGTATCAGTTTGTTCCTAAACAGTTGTTTTTATTTTGGTTGAAAATGCACACACACAAAAAAAAAGCACAACTGTTTTGGGTGGCCTCAGAAGTAGCCTAGAGAAGGTCCATAAAAATATCAGCTTCAGTCCTGGAAATGAAAATAAAATGATCGCATTTCTCAGTTTTGTTCTTATGTCCTCCAGCTCCATCTCAATGCTTTTGATTTCAGGGCCTGAGCCTGCCAATGTGACTCTCAGCCCACGAAAATCAGCAGGGCTGCCAGATCTCATAGGTTATTGGAAGCCAAACCCAGAGGTGGCATCAGCAAGGAGCCCTGGTGTCCACATCTGATGGGAAACCCTGCTGGCTTTGACCTGATCTCGTCTCTGAGACTCACACGCTGCAAGGTCTGTCTGTCCTGACCGGGGGGAAAATGTGCCTGCCTGCTGCTGCCGCCTTGTTTATAATTAAAGCGGGCATGTTTCAATGCCGAATGTACAATTTAGCCTTTGACAAAGCTCGGGCACCGTGCTGCCAGCCCCCCTCCAAAACTGGAATGCATTTAGTGCTCCTCTGCAAAGAACAAGGGCTTTCCTTTGATCACAAATGAGCCCGGCTTTCAGGAGCTGACGCAGGTGATGGCTTGGTTTTGTCAGGCTGCTTAAAAAATAGGTTGAAAGTACAGCATTCAGTTTATCCATCTGGCCTGGGGTGGGTTTTGTCCCCGTGATTTAGATGTGAGGGGGAATTTCACATGCTGGGCACCTCTCCTTCCCCCTTGCTCTGATGGAGACTGGTCTGCTCCCCATATACAAACTGCCCCGCAGCAGGTCCTTGGCTCCACAAAATCTCCTGAAGGCAGGAGGGAAGGACAGGCTGATAAAAAAGCTTTATCTCCCTGCAGACACCAAACTACCGGGCAGTGGGGAGCCCCTTCTAAAGCAGCAGAGGTCAAAAGGGCTGCTAGCAGGACCCTGCTCTGGCAGCATGGCCAGGAGGGCAACGAGTCCATACAGCCAAAGGACTGGCCCCGAGATGACAGCGAGATCATCTTTATTTTTGAAAAAGCAAACAAGCACGTACACCAAAAAAAAAAGATAAAAAAAAAAAAAAGAAAAAAAATCCCTGCAAAGCTGGGCCTGATACAGCTCTGCGGAGGCCCAGTACTGGTGCACAAAAGATGCATCCCAAAATGGAAATGCTCCGTGCCCCAGTGCTGATGCCGGCATTAATACAATTCAAAGCATTCCTGATTAACCAGAAGTAGTAAATAGACGTGTGCTGGTCCTATTCAGCAAAAATAAAACCAAACAAAACTTCTGCTTTCAAACGCCTGCCTGTGCTCCCCTTCGAGGAATGCGGAGCCTTTGCCGTCCACAGAAGAGAAGGTATTTGGCAATTCTAATTACCTAGCCACCCCGGTGCCGCTCAAACGTAATTTTAAAACACTATTTATACGGACTATTTATATGTTCTTTGCCACAGCAAAATGGGAGCTTGTGCTTGTGACACAAGCCACTGTTCGCAGCGGCTCTGCAAACTTCCCAAAGGTAGCACTTTATCCCATGGGGACCACACACGGAGCTCGGAGACTATGCGAGATGGCATGTGACACAGCCAGCTATTCAGAGCGTGGTACTGGGCTGTGAAACCAGGGGGAAATTCAAATATGCATAATTCAAACATATTCGGAGACACAGACAGAAAATAAAAGTTTTATCAACTCGCGAGAAGCGCCTGCTGCCAATCCTGGAGAACTGTCTCCAGCCATTTCTTCCAACTGATCTGTTATTTCAATCTATGTAATTATTTCCAGGGTCTCTGGCTTTTATTATCATGTATCTGGCTGAGTTACAGTTTTGTAGATGCTGTCTGATAAGTTTGGTGTTTTTTTTTAATTTCATACAAAGAGATAAAAGGGTGTGTGCAGCAGGATGTGCGCAGCAAATGCCCATGCAGAGGACAACCTCTGCTCAAAACTGCAGGGACAAAATCTGGTTTCAGAGACAGAAAAACTGGATTTGGCACTACATATTTTAATGAATACAATACAAACACAGGATGCCTTTAATTATTTAAAAAAGGGGGGGAGGGGGGGCTTCAAAGTTCAATTTGTTTTTCATTCTCTGTTCCTAACTTTTATTATCTGCACTGGTTCAGGAGAAACCAGACCTGCTGGCTCTGCTCTGTCTGCAAGCTGGAAGATCCCTTTCTAGAAAGCATTTTAACCAAGTGGAGTTTTACTAAGTGAGCTTTTGCTCAATAAAAAATAAGCTTTCCTGAGCATGGATAATAGCAATGCTCACAAATGTTAGTGGCTGGAACAACAAGACTGTCTTGGCTCTCAGGTGCTGGTCGTTGAGCATTATTTAGCACATGTGCGCTGCAGTATGTTTACTTGGAAAGGGAAAGAATGTGTTTTAGTTGGGAGCCTTTTATTTTAGTAAGCCTTGAAAATACCTCTTTTGAAGCTGTAAAAGAGAGTTATTTTTACAATTTTAGGTCAAATTCAATCTGACAGCTTCTCTTTTATTATGCTGCTTTTCTCACAGTTGCCTCAGCCCTTACAACTACTTTGCTTATCTGTGCCACTACAGTAGTTGTGTTATCTCTGGCAAGCAGAAGAGTCTGGAACATCAACTTCAGGACATTTTTGCTGTACCCCCTCCAAAAGTAGAATATTCTACTGTGCAGGCTTTAAAGGAAAGAACAATCCCAACAGGGGCTTACTCTCACTGTTTTTTTCTTATAGATGTGAAACAATTACATAAAATGAAACCTGGAGCTCCCAAAAATCTGATTTAAATAATAATCACCCTTCCAGGAGCTGGAAGCACCCTTCCAGGTCATTTAGCATATTTTGATGGGAGTTTCTGGTTTGCATGGCAGGGCTAGTCTAGGGCTCATTAACAAACATAAAAATAAAAGTTTATGGCTTCCATTGACGGCGAGCACCTCTATTCAGTGCTGATCTCTTTTGCCACAAGACAGTTGGTTTCTTTGAGAAGCATCCCCACAATGTAGCTGCTGTCTCTGGAACACTGAGACCAAGGCAGAGGAAAGACTGCCTTGAGGGTGAAAAGAAGGAGCGAGTACCAACCTTCAGCACCGTGACATAGGGTGTCCCATCGGGCCCGTATTTGCTGCCGTTGACTTCCACGTGTTTCAGCCACTGAATGTGAGGCTGGGCATCGCTGTAGACCTTGCAGTGAAACTCCACATTGCTCCCAACCACCACAGTCTGGTTGGCAGGGAGCCCTGCTTGCAGGATCGGTCGGTGGGGTGACCGTTCTGAAACACAGAGGAGAAGGAAATCTTAATTTACCCGTCCTTCTTCCAGCAAGGTCTCCCCTCTGCACCCTTCAGCGCTCTTCTTGATGGGAAGGGACAACAGTGCTCAGTGGTGTCAGCTCACAGCGACCTGGCAGGAGCTGTTTCAGATGGGGAATCTCCTTGCTTTTCAGCAAAAAGGGTGCAAACTGGGATTGTCATCCCTTCCAGGTGTCCCAGCCACCTTGACAGCCAACGCTTCTCAAGCCTAAAGAGGGAGAACCACCCGAGAGCAGAGGATCTCAGCCCCACTCGTGCCATTCCTTCTCTGGCTCCTCTCTAGACCAGCTAGGTAATTTATTGATTGCAGATCCGAGGCTGAAGTGCTGGTCAAAAGGAGGCTTCCTGTTGGCTTCAGAAGATGCATGATTCAGCCATTTGGGAAAGAAACCAAGTTCCTGCTTCCTTTATCCCGTCATGCGCCTGTTCAACATCACCACGGATCAGTTATTGAGGGAAAACAGGGAAATCTCACCTAATACATCAAGCTGGTACGTGTGCCTAATATTGCCGTATTTGTTCTCCACAACGCAAGTGTAGTTTCCTCGATCTGACGGCACAACACTCTCCATCACCAAGCTCCACTGCTGGTGTCGCAACTAGAAGAAGAAATCAAACCATCAGGCCCATGGTCAAGCACGGTCATCACCAGAGCCTTCAAATCAGTGAACAGTCAGGGACCTTCTACATGCACAGCCAGCATGAACGGACCCCAGAGCTGGCCTGAATATCACAAGCACCCATTTCAAGGGTCATTAAAGGCTTAATTTGAAGAGGAATTAAGACCAGTGCATAAACAGTGCCACGCTGAGATTGTAACGGGGACCTGTAGATGCTTCCACAATAATAACACTAATAAAATCAGCTGACAGTTGCACTGATTACGGCACCTCTCATTAGAATAATGAGTTTAGAAGACATCAGCTAAAGTAGCCCCAATCCACTTGTCCTCTTTGTGAGACCACTCTGGTCCACAGACTGTCAGCCCAAAATATTGGACTCTTGTCCGCAGATCTTTACCAACTGCTACATATAACACGTAAAGATAACTAGAAACAATAAAGATTATACTTCTTACCCTATCTATAAGGTATTTTGAACAACTGTGCTATGGGGACAACATGGCATGGCATCTGTCTGAACAGAAATGGTTATCTACAACTGAGTGAACCCCCTAAATTGTCTGTCAAGAACAGATGAGAAAACATGCCCAGCCTCAAGTCCGGTCCCTAGGATGCTTGGTCAGCCCTTCTCTTTCTGCACTAAGCCTCATGCTACTTATTTTTCTGGATAGGGCTTATATCTAGAGGTATCCAGCCTGACCCACTGCCCTGTGCTCCCCGCTGGAACGTTTACTTCTAATGAGTGCAGAGGAAATAACAGATATGGGAAGTAAATCTTGAATTAATACAGAAAGCAACCAACACAAACAAAGATGACTTCAGGATGCATAGCGTACAAAAGCTCTGCAGATCTCTGGATATTCGTTTGATGCCTTCTGCTGCCCAGAGCAGCACATTTAACTTTATTAAACATGGTGAAGGTGACTCCAAGGACACAGAAGCAGGAGATTACAATAATGCTGTGCTACGGAATGTCAAGGGCTGATGGAAAAAAACAAGGGTGTAATTGCTCCTGGAGGTTTCTTGCTGCAGCAGGTGAACTCCAATATGAAGTCATTTAACCTCTTTTGCTACACATAAATTGCATCCACATGGTTCCTTTTAAAGGGCCAAGTCGCAATTAAAGCCAGAATTTTGGAAAGAGAAGGTTTGAAGTCATAGGACCAGACAGCTTAAACAACTTGCTTAGTTTCAACCCAAGCAAGCAAAAGCCATCGGACAAAGCCCCCTGCTTTGTACATCCCTGGGATAGCAGTGCTGAGTACCCCACTTTTCCTTTCATTTCAGGAGGCCGTGGCTGTTTTAAACAGCCTGCAAAGCAGTCCCGGTTGCTGCAGGTGTCTGGTCGGGTCTGACTGTGCTCATTGCCCACCCAGGGCACAGATGGAGCTCTGTGCAGAGCCAACATTTCGCCTTTTGTAACGCAACATCCCACTTGGTGCAGCTCTTCAACAGCGCTGCAATCACAGGGCAACAGGAGCAGTGAGAGCTGAGGGCCTGAACCCCTGGGTTCACATCTGAACATACCAGACTGTCAAGGAAGTTTGAATGCAAATTTGTGGCTGCTCAGGGCTCATTTCCATACTGGCTTGTCTCGTAGTTTTGTTTAAAGGCTTCTTTTAATCCACTCTTCAGCATTGCAAAGCATTTTCCTGTGGAACCCCAAGGAGCTACTCCAAGGAAATGGGACTCCAGACACCCGATCAACTCCCTAGTCTGAACTGTATTATAAAATCAGCTCCAAATTAGGTATTTTACTTATCATGTCCTGTATTTACTTTCAAGGAATGTCTCATCATTGGGCTTGTGGCAGGGACTTTGGACCCTGAACAAAGACATGATACTGCGGAACCGCGGGCATAAACTTGGGGAAAACTTGTTTGGGAACTTTTCTAGAAGGAACAGGGCTCTTTTTTTAGGTTGACACTGGGTCTAGACTTAAAGGATAATAAAAAGGGATGTTCCCAAGTTAGGATAATTGCTGTACTTGATAAAACACTAGAAACAAGAAGTGGCTTAGTGCAGACATTAATCAAGTCGGTGAGATACTGGAAGTCCCTCTGGTTTATTTGGTGTTGTCATTCTTGGCTTCTTGTGAAACAAACATTTGCAGACACACTTGGAAACTCAGTCGGTGTTTGCCAGACTGGTATGTGCAATGGTCTGGGGAAGGGATAATCCCCTATCTCCCCTCCCCCTCGATCTTCCCTTCTAGGGTCATTTAACACACACAGGCTTACAATATTAGGGATTCCAACACGGATTTAACCATTAATGCTCTTTGGGAAATTTCATATGATAAGTCATATGAATTTCTTCTCTCTACCAGTTAAGGATGAACTGTAAGAAGATCAGTTTAGCCCGGGCCTTCTCTTTAGCCTGCCCTTCTCTCTTGCAGACTTTACAAAGGGCTCTGACAATCACACAGGATCTAAATGCCATTTGCGAGAGGCAGAAGTGGAACAGTGGTCAGCTTTCATCTGCTGACCACACTCCTTTCACAATCAATGTTTAAACTCTTCCGTACACTGAGAACAAATGAGAAAATTCCCAGCTCAAAGATTTCTGGGTTAAGACCATATCTTGAGATGAAGCAAGCCAGCCAAACTCTGCCAGATCTGGATCTTGCCCATTCTTTTCAAGCTGCCTAATCCTGTTATGAAGCTAAGTTGTAACTGGGAATTTAAATCTTAAATACATGAAATACTGAAGAGGTTTTCACTTTCTTTTTCTGGTTCAAATCTTGGTTGATGTCTATCAGTATTATTTATATTGGATGAGATTTACATTAGACTACTTATATCTAACCGTGGCTCAAGAGCAAAAGCAAGCAAATAAGAGAAGGAAAATTACAGAGCGAGAAAGATGTCTTTATATCAGGAAAGGGACAAAGAACTATACCTAGACAGATAGAGAGTTTAAACCAATCTTGCTGTAATTGGCCTGACGTTGCCTTCAACAGCACTTTAAGCATTGGCTTGTTGCTGGAAGGTGCCCCTAGAGAAACAAAGCACAGCGATGCCAAAGACTCACTACTGTGTTGCAGAGGATGAAATGTGTCAATTTAAACTTAAGGATAGATTAAAACCACCGGGAAGTGGGTAGGGGAATTGCTTTCAGCTTTAGATTTTATTCTGCAAGCATAATTTAGTGCAGCTGATGTCACATAGTCTTGTAAAAAGCAGTTCAAACAGCGCACGCAAGCCTGAAAACATTTCATGATGATCCTTACAGCGTGCAATTAGTAAAAGATGCTTGTGCTTTGTAACTGCTATCTGCTGTAAGACTGTTTACAGACAGGAGTCTTTTCTCTCCTTAAATTTTCAGATCTAAAAGCAAGCGTGTCCTCAGCCTCATCCAGGCTGGAACGGGGACAGGGCTGAGGAGGGACCTTCAAAGGCTTCTCTGAACAACCACAATAGGCTCTTTCAGGAACGGGCCTGAGCTAACAGGAAAGCAACAGCCCAAAAGCAGTGGGAAGGGAAGACTTTTTCGAATCCTTTTCTGGTTTCTGGAGCCCTGCACACTCCGCATGCCTAGCCCCCTTTCACGGCGTTACAGATGTGGTAGGCATCAGCACAGAGCTATTTAAGGTACTGATGAAGGTGCCTTTTGAAAAACCACCTTCCTTCCTCACCAGCAGCCCAGGCAGACGCCAGGCCTGGCAGGGTACAGGCTGAAAATGATTGCTCAGGAGTCCTTCCTTCTGCTCTGGTATTGTCCTAACCAGCTACTGCCAGCTTTATGCTCCCCAGATATGTTTGATCGTGACCTCAAGGGGACAAAGGAACAACAACAACAAAATCAGAGCAGCAGATTTTCTTTAGTTAAAGTCCTCTCATTTGTTATGTACAGTAGCACAGAAACTTCTAGATAATTTGGTCATTTGAGTGCACTTTTGGTGTCCACTTGAGCGAGAACATTTTCCAGAACACCTTATGGTAGAAAGGGAAGAGGGAGAAGGAAGAAGCCAAGGAGCAGATGCTATTACTCTGAAATAGGGTAATCCAACACTTGACCAAGGGTCAATGATTTATACCACAAGAATGTTAATGACCACCAACACAGCAGTCCAGCTCTTTGGTGAGGACCTTCCCACACCTTCAAACAACACAGAGTCATTTTTCCTTGAAAGCTATGAGTAGCTATGGCTTGGTCATGCACATCTGAATGCACTGGGCTGATCTCCAGAAATTAGGAGTATTATTACCTTCTCGTTGCTGTCTACAACACACCCATAAACTCAGCCTCATTTCTACCTAAACCCTGAATGGCCAGTATAGACAAACTCAGAGGGGATTAAGCCTTGAATCCTGATGGACAGCAGCCCTATCTAACACTTTGGTGTCAAACAATTGCTAGGACTGCCAGAAACATCCCCATTCCTGTGCAGTAGGGACCATGCTCTTACATGTACCAACATTAATTACAGTGAAATACAATTTCCTACAGTCGGTAGAAAAATTTTGACAAAACCAGAGACCCAAGCCAAGGCCTTACCTTGATGCCCCCAATCCTATGCTCTCCCTTGAACTCTTTGCCGTTCTTCAGCCAGTAGATGGAGGGAGTTGGGTTGCCACCCGCCGGACATCGGAAGCGAACGGTGTTGGCGGCGGGAACTGCCAGCAGCTTCTTCTCCATCTTATCTGGCCGGGTCCAGAAGGGGACACCTGAGAAAAAGAAGACAAGCTGAACAGGCCCGTTTCTGCTGCAGAGGATATCAGCTGGTGAGCAGATGCATTTGAGGAGGCTTTGGCATGTGCGGAGTGACAGTTAAATTGCTACCTGCTGCAGTTAAGATAAATGACACAGAAATGCTTTCCAGCTAAATGACTCTTATAGATGTAGACAGGGTGTTTGCATTTTAGGTTTGTGATGAAAAGTTCATGACCAGGTTCTTGTCTTGGTAATGCCGGTGTAAGTCTAGAGTAGCTGCTTTTAAATCAACAGGGAGAGCTATCCCAGATCAGGGTGAGGGTTTGGCCTCAGTGTGTAAAAAGATACAGATGTACCTTCGGGACAATAGTAGTCAAGAAGCATGAAGAGCAGAACGATGTTGGAACTGTAAAAAAATGCTGATGGGCCAGCAAGGGAGCAGAGAAAAAGTATTAGCTGAGTGCTTTGGAAAATTTTGCTCCTCTGTGAGCACAAACATAGTGCAGCCTCCTTAAGGGAAGGAAAGGAAAAAAAGACAGTGCCAAACTGGTTTATCATGTTTATGTTCTTAAAGTTCAAGTGATTTTAGTTTTAAAGATTCATGTTACCTTTGAACAGGGATAAGTTTTAAAATACCAGTGTTAGCATGAGATACTTTTTATAATCTGCCTTAAGTACAGCAATGTTTCTTGGCATCGTTACAAACATTACATATTAACTCCAAATTAAGGCAGCAGCGGCAGCAAACTTATTATTCTGGAAAGAAAGAAAGAGAAAGTTCTAAAAACAAGCCTCCCAAGCTTTCGTTTCTGCTTAAGGAAACACTGCAGAGCTGCACTCAGGGTGCTCGCCCTGCCGGCTCCATGCCCTGCTCTGAGGCTGAAGGGAGACAAATGGGGGCACACTGTGTGTGCCTACCAAAATAGCAAAGAGGAGGCCAAGGAGTGTAACCAGTGCATGGGAAGGAAGCACCCACCAGCCCACAGTACCCAAACCCACTGGCTGCAGAGCCCTGTGTGCTTCTGGCCAAGACAAACCGAAGGTGCTGGTCCTGCAAGACCTGTCTTAGAAAACATGGTGGCCACCAAAGCTGCTGGGAGAGCATCGCTGCCAGCCTCTCCTGCAGTGGTGAAGATCACAGAATCACAGAATGGTTTGGGTTGGAAGCGACCCTAAAGCACATCCAGTTCCAACCCTTTTCCATGGGCACAGACACCTCTCACCAGCCCAGGTTGCCCAAGGCTCCATCCAGCCTGGCCTTGAGCAGTTCCAGGGATGAGAGGGTCAGAAACCACCCAGGATCACAGCTCCACCTCAGTGAAGCCTCTGTAGCCCCTTCCTCTTCATTACAAGGGTGTACAAGGTTTTCCCTCTCCTTTCAAGCCTCTCTGAGCTGCACCCAAGCTGTTCCCTCTCTCCAGCGCTCCCCAGCGCTCCCGTCAGCCCTGACATGTCAGGTTCCCTGAGCCCCATCCTGCTCCAGGTAGGGCAGTGTTGACCCCACCTTGCTTTAAAAACCACAGACCAGACACAAAAGTGCAACACAAACATTGCTCAGACAGAAACACGTCACAGCACTCTGCATTCCCAGGGGTGCGCGAAGATTATGGGTTTTGAAGGCATGCAATAAGCACAACCTAGCAGGCCTAGCTCAACTAAGTAGGCCTGACAAGAGTTTTACATCGTCTGACTCTAATTTGGAGTGGCCTCCTCTCTTCCCAGCTGGAAATTCAATACTCAATTTTAACGTCAGCCTCACTGGACACATCCCTGGCAGGAGGGAGCCAAGGGGGGGTTTGCCTGTTTGTTTCTGCAGAACCAGGATTTCCCTCATTTCTCATAAGCATGGGTTTAGAGAAGAGCTGAGAGGATGCTGGCAAGCACCAACACCCGGCCCTTCCAGCAGATTCCCCCCTGCCCTGCAAGTATTACAAGGACAATTACAGCAAACACAGAGCAAAATATTGCCTTGGCTCCACCTGCACAAAGAGGGGAGTTTTTTTTGACAGTCCTTGGGGAGGGGTCACAGAGGGGGCTGCTTCTGCTGGGATAAATCCCATAGGTGTTTGGTGGTAAAGCTCACTGCCGTGCAACCCACCTCCACAGCTCAAAGGGCTCAAGGGCTCTTCAATTCATGGCATTTGAGCTCCAGAGACTCTGCAGGCAGGCTCACAGGGCTCAGCTAAAGCATACACCATTTTAGCCCCTGCATCTCATGCTTTCACACCTCTGCAGCTGGATGGCTGGACACAGGTGCCTCAGTAGTGTCACAGCCTTTCCAGGGGGCAAGATTCAGTATTAAGGACTTGCATCTGCCCTCAGACTGCCTTGCACAACACGCCTCGACTCCTGTCAGTCAGCTATTTTAATCAGAGGAATGTGGTGTTCACCCATGGCGTGCATACCTGTGCAGCAAAACTCACTGTGAACAAACAGCACATCTGGGGGGGCCTCAAATGCTGCATGATAACATGGGCTAGATGGGAGCAGCCATTCACTTTCCAATATCTTAGAAAAACAGCAAAGAACTGCATGGCTCACACACCCGGACTTCCCAAGGTTTTCATGCACTTTTCTTGGTGCTGCAGGGAGGGCTCAGGGAGAGGCCAGGCACTACCAGCAAAGTCCCCACGTGCTGCTGCGGAGAAGGGCAGCTCTATAACCTGCTGCTTGTTGTTCTTCTGAGTATCCAGGGACATTCTCCACATGGAGCAAAGGCAGGATGCGCTCCTCCCTCCTGCTGTTAGACAGGGCTTCTTCCCTGAGGGCATCCCCTCCATTGGGTGCTCTCCCATGCGATTTGGGGCTTGGCACCCTGGGGTAACATGCCAAGCTTCCAACAACCAGGGCATCACGCATGGCGAACTGGAACTGGTGCCTTTGTTCTCACGCTCAGGAGTGGCGAACAAAAACATCAGTGCTTTTGGTTTACTGTGCCCTCTGAGTCCTTTCATTACTCCTTTTTAAAGGGGGTGAAATTTTTTGCTCAACTCTTCTGTTCACACAAAGCTTTCAAAGCTCTGGAGAATTTTGGGAGTGAGGAAGGATGAAAGACAGCAAAAAAAAAATAATAATTCAGAGCCACTCTCTCTAAATTAATTACGAGCAATGATTCTGCATGTGCAGGTGTGAAAAAAGGGATCCGCAAACACTGTCGCCGTCCCTTTCCCATCATCAAGCACTAAGCCCGACCGTCCGTTTTGTTTGTCAAAGACACTGGCCACCCATCCACCTGGAATGACCAATTAAAAAACTGAGAGCGGTACTTGGAATAATTAATACAGCCAAGCGCTCATTTAGCAATTAGGAGCTGCCACAAAATTCTGCGGCAGACAGAATCAACTCTAATTGTGTAATTTCCCCAGCTGACACCTCCGAGTACACAGCCTGATTTAATTGGAGATTATAGGGGCTCTTTGAAGGTGCTGGGGCTACGCAGCAGGGGCTCCAAACAAACAGATACAGAGGAGTAGGGAGCACTGGGGCAGAAGAGCACTATGTGAAAAGGGAGTTTGGTTTTTGTTCCGGGGCCAGGAAAAACAGCTGTAGAGAACAGAGGTACTGGAAAGCCTCTTTTTGCAAAGGCGGATCGCAGTTCGTGACAAGGCTGCAACAAACGGGATGATGATTTGAAGTTGCTGAGGTTCCTCTTTCTTCTCTTTGGCCACCCATCTCTAAGTGATGCTGTCTCCACACTCTCCAAGGGTTTCTGGGCCAGATACTTCATTTCCGCTAGGTGAAACTTCTCATCCCCCAGCTTTGGTATTTCCAGCTTGGATTTCAACAGTCTTGGGTGAAATCTCCAAAATTAATGAGATTGGCTTCGAACTCATACCACTACTACTGTCGTCTCTCCAAGCCCCTCTCTGTAAATACGAGGCTTAAAAACTCTTGAACAACACAAGCAAGCCAGAAAATGCACATAGCATCAGAAGGGGCCTGGAGAAATTATTACTCAGTGATGTGCAAAACGTGGCAACACGCAGTAAGACAGTCCTGGACACATTATCTCCTTCTGCATAAGAACAACTCTTGGTTATATTTTGCTTTTGCGTGAGAAGCGTGTTTGTTGCCCTCAGTGCTCTAACTCCTGACTGTGGTCATGTCTGATGGCCAGGCAGTAGCTCACACACCTCATTAGGGTACTTTTTGCCACAAGGGATGGAGGACACGGGATTTGAGCAGTCCATAGGACATGGCAGCTGCTATACCCACGCATTCTGCTCGGGATGGTTGAGCTGCCCCTGTCCCTAGTGAGATGTCCCAGTGGTGGTGCTGCTGGGGTTAACACACAGCTCCCCACACTCAACAGAAGATCTGCCAATGTTAACTTGGGGGGTCTGACATTAAACAAAGCAACATAAAGTACATTCATGTCACCGCACACCACAAGGCTTCATCACTCTGGCACTTGAAGCTAATCAACTGTTTTTAAAGCAAAAGAGAATCCAACTTTTTATAGCAAGACCTTTAAGCAAAGCCAGTGGTTACCTTCGGGTCTAAAAAAAGAGACAGCCTTGAAGTCAAGAAGACCCAGAATACAGGCTATAAATACATGTGGCAAAATGTGTGTTTTCCGTCACCATGAAGAAAAACGTGTCTTTCTGTACCATAAAACAGCCCGTGTTTTGTGATACCTGTTGCTAAGAGATGAAGTTTACTACAAACCACATTTAAAAAAGCACAGAGCGATTAATTGTGCTCATCAGAAGTTGCTCTGTAGCAAGAGCAAACCCTGACCAAAACTGACCCTTCCCATGTCTCCAGCAGGCTTCAACAGGCACCGGGAGTGCTGAGCACCTCTGCAAAGGTGCTCTTCAACGTGCGGGATCCAGCCCGTAATTAGAAGCTATCAGAAAACCACTAACTGCTGCCGATGGGTTGCCTGGCACCGTAGCTCACAATTACTGTCCACATACTGCACGACACAGCGGCACAAATTTATTACAGTGGGAGACCTGTTTTAAAGAGTCCTCCAACGCTATGGGCAGGAGAAATTTTCCAGTCATGTTGAACTTCTGCCAACGTACATAGCTGATTTGGAGTTCAAATGCAAGACATTTATTTATTAAAAACACATATGCACAGGCAGCTCGCTTTGCAGAAATATAAAGAGCATAATAAAACACAACACTAACGCCTATGAAGCATGTAATGATCCTGATTAATGATATTGCACTTAAAGAAACAAGCACTGGGATTGAAAGAGATTCAGTGTAAAAAGCACTGAGGCTCTGTTCTGGGGCTCCCTTCCCCATGCGAGTCAAAGAAAAAGCCAGGAAAGCCAAAGGGGTTGCTCCTGCTTACGGCAGCAGTAAATTTGGCGCTTGGCTAGCGTGAATTTTATTCTCCGAGCTGCCTCTGCCTCCAGCCAAGATGCTTGTAAGGACCAGAATTAAACCCGCTAAAAATAAAGTAGGCTAAGGTTTGTGATGTGTAACTGCAAGGTGTAACTTCAGCACAGTGAAAAAAGCAATGGCAGAGAGGCTTTGGCTGGATTTTAAGTGCAAGGAGAATTTATAACTTGAGTTCGTCAAGTCAAACTCACAGAATCAAGCAGCTGAAAAAATCAAATATCAGTAAGATAACGGAGCAGCTGTACCACTCTGGCATCTATTTCTAAATTTCTGCTGCCAGGTCCAAAGAGTTTGCACTCCTGTCCTAAGGACACCAATTTCAACGTGACGAAGAGCTGCCGTCAGTCTAGGCATATATCCAGGTGAGCTACTCCACATGGCAGCCACATCTCTTGTAAAGGAAAGATCTCTGTATCTCATAAAAACAAATTACCTGTATCTTCTGACTCATCATCGTCATCTTCATCATCACCCGACGAAGGCGAATCTAGGAAGAGAAGGGGAAAGAAATGAAGCAGAAAGAAGATGGCACATGGGGATGCTGTGTTGGATGAGCCTGCTGGTGCCAGTCCTCCAGCGAGGGAGGACATCTGAGTGATGTGTGTCCCTCCCCTGTACCTCCACCAGCCCAGGATGACCAGCCAGCAGCTTTCTGAACTAGGAGAGGGGGGCATGAACTTGCCAGTGCTCTGCCACTGGAGAGCAGGGCTCCAGTGCCAACTACTGCTCCATGTGCAAAGTGCTCTCCCCCTAAACACAAAAGCAATTCCAAAAGGGGAGATTTATTTTTGCAGAACAAGCTATCCCTGCCTTTTTTTTTTTTTTCCCCCTGCATTCACACTGAAGACTTTTTATCTCACCAAGTCTCAGAACGACAGGTCAGCATTTCTAATTCACTTTCTCTGTACTGTTCTTTTAGCTCAGCATATCCCTGCTACATCTCCCTGTGTTAACTCCTTGCTAAACTACTCAGACCAAGGCTTTTAAAACTTCCCCTTGTAATCAAACCTCTCTCCAGATAGACATTTTGCTGGCTACTCCTTGACCCAGCTGCCTTCAGTTATATTCCTTCTACGGAGGCACCTCAAGGCTGTAACTGAATACAGGTTAACAGGTGGGAATTTTCCGTCAGTATCTCTCTGAAGCTTTCTGTACCCATTCTCTTGATGTGGTCTAACACCTCACCTTCTCCAAGCTGTCCACAATGAAGCCTCCATCCCCCTCCCTGCCCCTGAACAACTACTGTAAATGTAAATCCCATGATAAAATAGCAGCTTAGTGTTTGATTTAGTTTTACACAATTTAGTACAATTCAGTGTCTGGAAGATTTAGTGTCTCTGACTTTATATAATCTCCAGGAATTTCTTTTTAAAATAAAGGCAAAATGCTAACAATGCAGCAGCCTTTATATTCTGAGACAGAGGTAAAAGCACTTGGCAGTAAGCACAAGAAAACAGGAAACTTTATGAGCGTATGACATGTGGCCAGAAAAGCAAAACACCATTTCAGACCAAGACTCCTTCCTAGGAAGATGCACTCGAGTTTTCTGCCATTCTCTAACCTGCCCAGCGACAAAAAGCTTGGAGGTAAAAATCAAAAGGGATGGAACAGGTAATAACAAACGTCACTTCTCTGCAGAATTTGAAAGGAACTTCCAAAGATACTCGCTGCACACAGCAGCAAGTAACCCAGGAACCAGCTCCCTGCACCAGCTTGCAGTCGTGCATCGTGCTTTGCACCTCTCTTTGGCACGGACTCAGGGCAGACGTGAAGCACGTATCTCACTGCAGATCCACAGCTAGGGTCCTGCTGGCAGCAGATCCAGGGAAATGCCACGGGGCTTGCTGAAAGTCAAGTGCCTCTTTAGGTGTTTCAGCAGAACCAGCAGGTTTACTCAAGTCCTGGTGAAGGCAGAAACCTTGCCAAATACCCACCAGCATCGACAGATGAACGAGTACGTTCTCAGCCCTGCACTCTGAGCTTCAGTTACCCGTATATTAACACGTGATTGCAGTTTACTTCTGGTTTCAAATGAACCAATCGTGACCAGAGCAGCAGAATCAATTTTTAAACCAATTCAAAATGTTTGCACAAGAATGAGGAGAGTTTTTGACATTGCTTATGTTTCATACGGGAGCTCTGCAGGGAAGCTTCAGCGTGAGTTAAGATGATCTATCCCATGCTCAAAGCTACGCTCCTGTTCAGGTTACTAAAAAACCACCTTCAAAAAATGACCAAAAATGTGTCAGCTATTTGTTAATCATTCACTGAACCTGTAATCCTTTCCACAAGACAACACCTATTGACATCAGCAAAAACGGCTAGATGCTACTCTGAAAGCGCTTTCTTTATGAGCAAGAAGGGCTTAATAATTTTAGTCACTCAGCTTGAGGAGCTTGGTCTTGGGTACTTTGAAAGCTCTTTTCGCTGATACCAGCCTGCAGCCCATGCTGCTCATCCCAGGGGTGCTGCTCGGCCACTAAATCCAGAGGGCGTGCATGAAATGGCTGCAGAAGCAGAGCTTCTGCCAACAGGCCTGGAGATCAGTTTGGGCATGCAGTCTTCAGTTGTGATTCACATCAAGTGTTTGTGTTTTAAGAGGGCAGTACATTTCTTCTTGTGAACTTAGTAAAGCAATCAAGCCCTTGTCTGTCACTGGAGGCATTTTAAATAAATCAAAGCCTCTTACTAATCAGACTGGTTTTCAGTTTAGAGTAGCAGCTTCTCCCTTCTCAGGTACCTGATGCTTTCTAATGCTGACACCAGCTTTGTGCAGTCCGTAACTATCCTGGTTTGTACCCATCACCTGAGTGCCCTCCAAACCCCAGAAGGGTCTGTGGGGACAGAAGTGTGTCTTGCCAGCATGGCCACACAGTGCCCACCTGGAAAAGCCCTGAAATGCCAGCTCCAGCATCTCCTTGCTCTACCTTCAGCATCAGCCATCTCACAGGGCACACGATATTGCAGCAGAAGAGCTGGTTTGCTGCGAACTCAGAACTCATGGTCCCAAACTGGAAAATCCTGATATGATCTGGAAGCTGCTCTCAAAAAGGGACTTAGGTGCCTATCAGCTGCTTTGAGTATTACATCTTGTCAAGCCAGCCTCCTTTGCTCACTTACGGGTACAGATCAGAGCAGTTCCAGTTCATTAGTACGGATTTAACCTGGTTTAACAAAGAGAACAACTCCAGCCCCGTACATCAGATATCCACATAAACACCCAGCGAGACATCTGAGCTAATCGCTGGTGTTACCTTTAAGAAGTGGGAACGCAAACCACAGATCTCAGATAACAATCTCCTCTCCGCAGCGGAACACTGAGCAATCAATAACAATTATGAAGAAATATCTGAGTGTATGAGAGGCGCCACTATTGCCACACCGAGCAGGGCTTCAAAGTTTGGAACAAGTGCTGCTGACAACTAAAATGGAGACTCCCACATTACCAGCACTTTGGTGGTAATGACAGTGGGCTAATAGAATCAAAGACTTGTAATGCTGTCAGAAAGCAGGTTCAGGTTACTCGCTTGTTCTTAAGCTGTTATTAGCTATTATTAGTGAAGAGGAAAAACACAGGGGCTTAAACTTTCTAAAAGCAGAGGATTATCAGCCCTTCCACTATTAAAACAATTTCTCACTTTACAAACTTTTGGGGCTGGCAGCTGTTTCATTTGAATGTGTAACCAGCTGCCCTCTTCTGCTTCCCTGCTGCCCCTTGAACTCAAAAGCATTTTAATGTCACTTAAAAAAAGAGAGAGTAACGTTTCTAACAACCTGCAGTTCCTTGGGTAGTCCCAATAATCGTACCTAGTTAAAGAAAGCCTTTCAAGGGCCAAATACTTCTTTAACCATTTAATTGATATGACCTTGAAGCATTCACAGCAATCTCCAGTAACGTTCAATGAAAAGCAGATGTTGGTGAAGGCTTGCTGAAACGAGCTTTTATTCTCACGATGGTTTGATTCTCTCACTTACACAAAATCCTGTTTCTGGCAAGAGAAAGACCTTTATGGAGTGGATGTGATTTGCTATCACAGACTTCTCTGTTTGGTTTTCAAATGGAGCCCCTTGCTTTTTGAGGGAACTCAACCTTTGGAGGCAAGGACCTACTGTGTTGGGAATACTTGAGAAGGCTCCAACAGCACATAGGGGAAGAAAAGTTTTCAAAACCTTAGATCTACAAGGGGTTAATTCTTCTGAAAATTCAGGCCTCTAGTCTGTGTGATTAGGAGGCTTTTTATCAGCTCTCAGTGACAGATATTCTCCTACCACTGCAGCAATGTGAAATCATGAAGATGAGCTTAACGTTATTTGTTAGCTATCTGGGAACAACATTTTTTTCTGGCACCTTCTGTTGAGTGATCCAAGCTTAGAGAGCTTGTAGCTGTTCTGTCCCACTGCCCCCATCATGGAAAATATGGCCAAGCAAATGACAGCATGTGCTTTGCTAACGTACCACTTGTTTGCAATATATGGTTTGCAGTAAGTACCTCTCATGAAGCACATATTCTAGATATGCAGTCTGCAGATAAGCTACTTCTGAAACGAACTAGTCATTTGCAATAACTGGGGTGGAGGGAAGAGATATTTATCAGCTAAAATAGGGATACAGTGTTCAGGAACCTCCAGCTTTGACATCCAATTTTGCCACTGATTTGCCACATAAGGTAGAAAAAGTCACTGAACCTCCCTGAGCCACAGTTCACTCACTAAAGACTTCAAAGGCCCATGTAGCACTGCATCTATTTGAGTGTTAAGCAGAATTTGAGGTTTAATCTGACCAGCACTGTTTCCAAGTCTCTATCTTAACATCAAGTTTTAACATTTGGTACAGACATGCAAGCATTCTTTGATTGTTTTTTTGTTTTGCTAGACTAATTACTGCCAGGAGTTGCTGGGGAGGTAAAGACCTACCAAGTATGGAAAAACACTGCAAAGCACCAGCTATGCTGAGCATGTGAAGGGGCAAAAATACAAAAAAAAATAAATCAGTGAAGCAGCCGTGTTTCTGCACATACCTGTAACTCTGACTGTAAAGTTTCCCAGGACCTCGTTGGAATGCCTTGGCTTGCAACTGTAGAGCCCCGAGTCATCATAAGACACATTGATTATCTTCAACAGTTTTTGTCCAATATGAGTTCTGTTGGTAGGTGCAATCCCAATACCATCTTTAAACCAGAAAACTGACACAGAAGAGCCTTGGGTGTTGCAAGAAAGTTCAATGGTATCTCCACTTCCAAACACCAACTCTTCCAGAAAGGCGGTCTCACTCCTCAAGTATTCTGCAAAAGGAAAAAGACGTGGGAATGAGTAAGAGCAGGTATCAGAGAACAGAATAGCAAGCCAAAACAAAACGTATCTTCTATTTGCCCTACAGATGCTTCTATGTACCCAGACCTTCTTGACAGGGGTGAGACTTGTGCACCCCCAGGTAGGCACTAATGCAGAAATGCAGCTCTGCACAAAACAGCCAGGTCTCTGGCTGATCTGTAGAGATTGCTTCAATGCTGGAGGGACCAGAACATGAACAAGCCACCAGGTGCATCACAAAATACAGCACAGATCTCTTTGCAGGGTCATTGCAACACACAACGTTGCATGTGGGTGGTGGTCTGGCAGAAGTAAGTGTGCGAGAAGAATAGTTGGGTCTCTGGATCTCGACTTCTTTATTCCTACGAGGCTGTCCACAAGTGCTGTAGGACTCAGCAAGGAGCAGGTATAGGGATTAACCCAATTTTTCAAGAGACTCTGGGTGGCCCAAAGGCAGCCTCTGCGGGCTGAAGGAAACAAGGAAGAAGGCTGGACAGCAGACAGGCTGGAATAGCTAAAATGTTCCCGCTTACTAGCTCTCTGCTCTGTGCAACGAAGGTGTGCAGAACCAAAGACCAAACATGAAAGGTGAAATTCCTCAGATCAGTCCACCTACCAGCTGCAGAGGCCTGTTACACCAGTGAAGACAGGGAATCCTGCTGTGGGCTGGGGAGTTTTTTAGGGTTACAACAAAAAGAAAGGTTCAGACTCAGAAGTCTTTCCAAGAAGGAACACGAGACATGCTAAAAGTGTGATTCCTTGGTCTCATGGTCCTCTGACTCATTTTGCAGTGACATGTAAACTCACTTTAGACATGTAATAATTTCTTCCTCTTTTACACCACTTAGAAAAAGAAGACTCATCCCTCCCCAGCTGCCCTCAACCCCCCTATATGAACAGCATGAGCATAGTTTCCCTGCCTTGTCTATGCTAACCAACATTTCACTTTGCAATGCTCCATCTGTTTCTTTCTGGCTTCTACCAGCTCTGAGATGTGTTCCACCACACACAAGTCTTCTTGGTTTTGTACACTATGTATTGCACAGGATCCTAATCCACAGAGAAGACTGCTAAGATTAGTGCTAAGATTGGTGCTAAGATTACACAATTAACAAATAAGAAGTAACGCAAAACAGACCAGTCTGAACCTACTCCCATGATCTAAATCCAGGCAGCCCACAGGTGGCCCAACTTTACCTCTGATAGTAATCAGATATGGATAGAGATCCTAATTCTGCAGCTCAAGCACGTGCATAATTAGAATTTAACTGTGAAACCACCATTTCAGCAGCTCAGCACACCTGATTATGGGGCACTGTCTTCAACTTGCTCTTTGCTATTAAGTGAAAGAATTGGAACAGATTATACAATAAAAATATATTACTTTTCTCCTCTTGTCATGCAAGTTTTCATACTTGTTGAAATTTAAATATACAAAAATGCTTCAGTTGATAGTCTTACATGGTAAAATCGATGAATTCTAGGGGCCTAAAAATGTAGTATTTCATGGGAGGTATCATTCTGTGATCCCGCAGTAGGCAAAGCCCACACACATTGGGGTCACAAAGCACCTTTCCCTAATTCCCTGGCAGCAATTCCAACTCAAATATTTTTGGTTTTGGCCAGAATGCTGTGGTCTTCATACAGTTAAGGGTTTCTTTTTAATATATATTATTTTTAATGAGAAAATTTTCCCTTGGAAATATACACTTTTAGTAAAAAGAGAAAGACGAAGGAGCACCAGCATCCCCATCACTCCTGCTATGATGCCAAGTGCTTGCCCGCGGTCTCTTCCTAGCTGGGGGGAGATCCTTGGGGAAATATGGTTGAGAAAAAGAAATGTTCAGCACCAGGTAAACAGGAATTTTCTATTTTAAATGTTCATTTCAGGGTTTTGCCTCCCTTCTCTGGACTTTTTCATTGGTATCAACTTTGGCTTCTGATAAAAAAGCCCTGTATACAGCTCTGCACTTGCATGGCTGGCTACTGATCTTTCTTTGTTGACTCGGATGGAAGCTGTTGCTAATTTAATCTACTGGAAAACAAACCCCATGCAGCTGCACCATTCCTCCATACAAAACACACAGTTTTACCTGAGCTGTTTGCCAAATGATCAAGACTTGTATATTTTGGCTTTTGTATTGTAAACCTATCAAACAGGAACAAGCCCAAACCAAACTGTACCATTCAGCCATTTAAAAGGAAGTCATTCTTTTCTTAAAACCATAACGAACCCGTGTTAATGACAAAGTGACAAGATAGCTTCCTGTGGAAAGGAGCCTCATCTCTTGTTCCTGACACCTTCATTTTGACATCTCTGCCCTCAATCTCCCCAGCTGGTCTCCAGCAGATATCTGATGCCCGTTAAATACACGCTTCAGTCCTCCTGACTTTATTCCCATCGACTGCGTGCAATAGCTGGAAATTCGAAGGAGTGGCGACTTAAAAGGAGAACGTTACTGATGGTTTCAATCTTGATTCTTTAAACAGCTTTTCAAGTTTCAATTTATATACCCATGGCTAAACAATAAACAGGACCTAAACTGAGGACCTCTACAAAGTACTCCAACATGCACTGAAGTGCCTGAGCCCTTTGCCTAACTGGGATCTTGGACAGTGATGTTTTACTGTTATTATTCCTCAACTGGCCATGAGTGCAAAAGTCTGCATCTCCAACCACATCTTGGTACAGGGTTTAACACAGAGTCCTCCTGGGGACCTGGGGAGGGTTTGGCTTCCTTCTTCACACTCCATCTCCCACTGCTAGCTGATAAAGAAACCAGCAGGGGGAACGGGCACCGAGCTCTCCCGACACAGTTGCTTCTTACATCTGAACACACACCTGACGTAGGCACTCACAAAACGTCCCGCTGCAAAGCAGCGCTGCTGGGAAGAAGCTTTCAGACTTCAGATGGGGTTACAACTCCCATCACCCGAGTATCAGTCCTGCATCCTAAGAAAACCATCCTCACTGCTGGCAAACAGCTATCCCCTTTGAACCTAAAGCGTTTCTGCTGCCAGTCAGGTTATGAAGGTCCCCCCACGCCACCCTCCCAAAGCAAACTCCTACTGGGATTAAGCCAACCTTAAGAGCATCTTTTCAAACCCTGCAGCAGAGAGCTGTAAGCACGGGCTTCCCCAGGTAGGAACGACGGGATCAGCTCATGTGAGGACTACGGGAGGCTGCTCTGCCTCTTGCTAGCAGTGCCAGGTTTAATGAGTTTGCAGCTTTAATGGGTTCGTAGTGAGAAGGAGGCAATTTAGGCTGTGGGCTCCCAAGATATGATTCAAATTCAACCATTTATTAGTTTAGCTGAAGCTGTAATGAGTCGAGAATTACCAAGAGACACTTCTGAGGAAGATCTGCACTTGCAGCGTTACTGCTGCTGCCCGTAGCATGCAGGCTGCAGAGGAAGAGGCAATTTTTGGACCTTTCAGCAGAGCAAAAAGGCAGTGAGTGACTCGCTGGGAAGCACCTTCCACAACCACCTTCCACAACGAGAAGCAGCTGGCCCAGCTGTACCAAAATGCTTTTGTGTGGATTCACTTATAAGGATAAGATACTTCATCTCTGTAGCTGCTTGGCTCATCCCAGTGATAATTCACTTTCTGTGTGGTTCAGAGCTCCGCGTACTTAAGCGTGTCAGTATTTCCATCAGATGTCTGCTCCTCTTAGACATCAATACTTGTTTCGGGCTGAGTCTGGAAGTGTTTTATTTGGGTTTGAATGCAGGCAGCTATCAAGAGCTGCAGGAGGGTATATGGGGATTTACTTCTCCTGGGCTGATTGATATTCCTGGACTGCCTATAGCTCCCCAAAATCTTCAAGCCATCCTGCATCCTGGCTGGTGCCCTCCCTGGTTTTGGGGACTATTTCCAGGTGCTGTGACACAAGGCACCACGGCTGCTCTGGGCAGTGAAGGATGATGGTGCCTGGGGGATGCTCAGTGGGGTGGGATAGCCCTGGGACCTTGGACAGGCTTGAGGCCAAATATTCCTCACCCCAATCTGGAGCCCTGAAAATCCCAGGGAGGTTCTTCCGTGATCGTTTCACAGCTCAGCAGTGACATCAACCAAGCGGTTCCGGTGGCTCACGTGTAAGTGGAGAGCATTTTCCTCTGTTCAAGCCATATTTGCCATGTTAACAAGCAGAAAGATAGCAGCACTCCACTTGTTTCCCCTGTTGGTTAATTCAAAACTCTTTTCTTGTTCTATGTATTTTATTGCTCTAAATCCACCGTGACAGGATATATTATAGGATCACAGGGTAACAACCACACCGAGCTTTCTCCTGCAGAGGCTGGTGTCCTGTTCCCAGGGAAAACTGATTGCAGCCACCAAGCCTGTGGCTTACTGCTGTAGGGACACAGAAACCTCCCCATGCCCTGCATCGCTGGGATGAATGAGGCCACAGTGCCAGAGAGGACACCGGTTATCCCCAGGCTCAGACCACTGCTGTCTCCTCCTTGTGGGGTCAGTCCTGGTCTCTACTAAACTGTCCTGTGCTGTTACTGGAGGCCATGGTATTATTATCATCCCCCCCAACTGTCTGATGGAAAAATGCAGGAATAAAATAAAGCACTTTCTGCTTTCAACTGTCCCTCAGTAAAATCTGAGCAAAGAATCCTTTATTTTTTCTTTTTTCCCAAAACCTACACCATGTTTTTCCCTTTCCCTCCATGCAGGCTGGCCAGTCTGCACCACGGCAAGAAGCCAGCTGTGTTGAGCCCAGTTTCCTCCGGCTGCAGCCCAGTAAGTCCTAGTATGAAGCTTCATCAGCCTGATCCCTCTGAATAGGGCTCCAGGTTGCTAGCTACGCTGCGTCCCCCAATATATGTATGTCCTCCCCTCAGGGGCTTCTGTCACGGAAAGAGCAAGCCCCATGGATGAAAACGGGAATAAACCTCTCTTTTCTGGCTGCATGTTGTTCCTTTGGGATGTGCCATCATTTATAAGGGCAGCCAGGAGGGCT